CCGATGAACGTGTCTGGGTTTGGCAGTTGCCAGGAGAATGGTACTTACCTGACTGCATTGTGCCAAGTGTAAAGCTTGGTGGAGGGGGGATTATGGTGTGGGGTTGTTTTTCAGGGGTTGGGCTTGGTCCCTTAGTTCCAGTGAAGGGAACTCCTAAGGGGTCAGCGTACCAAGACATTTTGGACAATTTCATGCTCCAAACTTTGTGGGAATAGTTTGGGGATGGCTCCTTCGTGCTCTAACATGGCTGTGCACCAGCGCACAAAGCAATGTCCATAAAGACATGGATGAGCAAGTTTGGGGTGGAGGAACTTGACTGGCCTGCACAGAGTCCCGAGTCATCCCGATAGAACACCTTTGGGAGACTGAGAGCCAGGCCTTCTCGTCTGACATCAGTGCCTGACCTCACAAATGTGCTTCTGGAATAATAGTCAAACCTTCCCATAGACACACTCCTAAACCTTGTGGATGGCCTTCCCAGAAGAGTTAAAGATGTTATAGCTGCAAAGGGTGGGGCCAACTCAATATTGAACCCTACAGACTAAGACTGGGATGCCATCAAAGTTCATGTGTGTGTAAAAGCAGGTGTCCCAATACGTTTGACAATATAATGTATGTGAAAACCAAAAGTCTCACTGTGATCTGCACGCATGCATCCACTTGTGAAATCCACCATTTAAATCTCCTTCACTAGCCACAGTGTCATTACCACCATATCAACAGGCCTAAGACCCCACATTAGAAGAGGTCAAATAGTGCGTGCAATCTATCATTAGACCGGAAAGTCTAAAGTTTCTCCCAGCAGGATGGATGATAGACCCACGGCAGAGCATCAAATAGTAAGGAGCTCAGTCTCAGGCATAGGAAAGGAAAGGAGGGGCCACATAGTGTAGTAAATTCTAAAACACATTATTAAAAGCCAATTACATACTTACAAGAGCAGAAACAGAAAAACACATAACAGCTAATGCCGTTCGCTTGAGCTGAGCTGATCACTGCTAGGCCCCAGTTTAATGCATTTCGTTTCACAGAACATCCTTGGAGGGTTCCTGGAGTGTACCTATTGATGTGCCAGAAATGCATTCTTCTCCCAAGTCTTGCAAACTAAAAAACTAAGCATTTTGTGGAGTGGGCAGTGCCATTCCTGCAAACCTACTTATAGCCTTCTAATCTTATATCTCAGCATAGACTAACTGAAATAACACAGGGATTGTGCATAGAGCAGCTCTAAATTTATGACCTGATCAATGGGTATTTTTTTTGCACTTACCAAACAAATGTAACAAAACTCTTTCAATGGTATATTTTAGTAGACCAACAGGTAGCACATTGTAAAGGTTTGCATACACCTGTCAGTCTCTTTAGAAATGATTGTACCTGAATTTTCCTTCAAGAGAAGAGTCACTATATTCACCTCTCCAGGGGCCTGTGTCCTTCCTCCTCTCCATTCCAGCACTGCAGATGGAGTGTTGGGTGCCTGTGTTCCCTGTAATGTGCTATGGCTGCTTCCTCTGACCTCGACGTCACTTCAGGTCACAGCAGTCATGTAGGGCTTAGAGGAAGGAGACACAGAACGAAGGGATGCACTCCCAGAAGCACTGAATGCCAAACAAACTCGCAAAGGTTGCAACAGTGGAATGGAAGGGAAAAAGACTTCTGGAGAGGTGAATATTATGGCTGTATTATAAACTTCAGTATGATTATTTTTTTTTTTGGGAGATTGACAAGGTCTCTTTATTAACACGGGGTATGGCTGATAACCTTTCGATGGTGAACACATGATAAGTCATATTATAGTCTTGGTGAAAACAAGCACTGTAGTCTGTTTACTTGCTTTGTGGCTGCAAGATCCAGAATCCTGTCCTTTTGTTCAAGTTTAGATAGCCCTAATATTGTAGTTGTGTTCAGCTAGACCAGCAATGAGCAAACTACGGCCCGGCGGACCTTTTAATCCGGCCCGCGGAGCGTGATACTGTCAGGATGGCTATCAGGATGTGTGTAGGGCGGGGCAGCGTGACGAACGTGAGGGGAACTAGGCTCCTCTCACAGTCCGCCCTGAAGACCGGAACGGCGCGGGAACATGGCGAGAGGAACGCGCGGAGCAAAGGTAAGTAAATTGACACAGGGGGGACTTGGGGACTTAATATGGGGGATGAATTAATATGGGGGATGAATTACTATAGGGGGGATGAATTACTATGGGGGGATGAATTACTATATGGGGGATGAATTACTATATGGGGGATGAATTACTATATGGGGGATTAATTACTATATGGGGGATTAATTACTATGGGGGATGAATTACTATATGGGGGATGTATTACTATGCTTACTATGGGGGAATAATTACTATACTTACTATGGATGACACATACACATCATTCATCTACTCTTGGTCCGGGGTCTAATATATGAACCCATTGCGGCCCTCAAGTCAAAAAGTTTGCCCACCCGAGCTAGACGTTTGAATGAGTTTTAAAAAACTGATTTATTGGTTTATTTAAAACATAGGAACAGCTATTGATGTCAAATTTGAATTAAATGTTGTATAATGTATATACATAATTATTTATTTTAGGGTACAAGCTGCTTCTTGAGGTGGGTGCGGAACTTGGATGATGAGCTTCATGCTCTCATAGCTGGTAAGTCCTATAGCAAATCTGTAAGTAAAAATGAATATAGAAGTAGTTATATATAAACATGACATATTGAGTACACATTTTATGTTTATTAATATGCTGAAAATCATATCTAAGTTTCCACTACTAATCCCCAAAGAACATTTAATTCTAACCAGATCTTTGGCCATCTCTCTCTCTTTTCTCCCTCTCATTCATTCTTTCTCTCTCTCTCTTCTCTCCCTCTCATTCTTTCTCTCTCTTCTCTCCCTCTCTTCTCTCCCTCTCATTTCTTTCTCTCTCTTCTCTCTCCCTCTCTTCTCTCCCTCTCATTCTTTCTCTCGCTCTTCTCTTCCCTCTCATTCTTCTCTTCTCTCTCTCTTCTCTCATTCTTTCTCTCTCTCCCCCTCCCCTTTTCTCTCCCCTCTCCCTTTCTCTCTCTCCCCCCTTTCTCTCTCCCCTTTCTTCTTTCCTCCTCCTCTCTCTCCCTCTCATTCTCTCGCTCCCCCCCCCTCTCTCTCTCTCTCTCATCCGCCCTCTCTCCTCTCATTTCTCTCTCTCTCTCTTTCCCTCTCTTCTTTCCTCCCCCCCCCCTCTCTCTCTCTCTCTCTCTCTCTCTCTCTCTCTGTGTTTTTTCTCTCCCTCTGTGTTTTCTCTCCCTCTTCTCTCTTCTCTCTCTATTCTCTCTTAAATATTTAAATCCAACCTAGAGTGTTTCTTCTTCTTTTATTATCATTAGGGTTTCTGGCAGGAATCTCCATGATGTTTTATAAAGCACCACCATCTCCATGTACCTGGCATCCAAACTGGTAGAGGTGAGTCTCCTAATAGCACGGCTGTAAATAGAGCATATAAAAATATTCAGCACTTCTCAGAAACTGAAGAAAATAAGTATTTGTGTGGAGTGTAACTGAGTAATGAAGTGATGGATTTTCAGCACTGATAATGAGTGATTTGTTTGAATGAACTCTGAAAAGGCAGAATCTTCCTGTTTTATACTGCTATAACTGGCACATGCTCCCTGCATACTGTATTTTCTGAACAGAAGATCATAGAGGAAATATATATACAATAATAAATGGGGTAAAGATTAGTTAAAGAAAATTTGTGTGGTTGAAAGGAAAAGTGTACCTGTCATTGTAGGGAAAACAACATTTCTTTATCATACATCATGGGAAACAGAGCAGCGTATATTCATGACTGTGTGAGTTATGCGCCACCTATAGGTGAATGGACACTGGCAGATCAATTAAACAGGAAGTCCTACCATATATAACCCCTCCTATACAGGAAGTACCTCAGGTTTTTCACCAGTGTTTATAAGGTGATGGTCACTGATGCTGCATGTGCTCTACCTGGGGCACACCTGGAGGTCCAAAACGGTTTTTTCTGTGAATCAAGGACTGGAATCAGATCCATTCGAAGGTCGGTTAGCTAAAATGGATGGTACATGAGCCTCGTTGAAAGGAGAGAAGAATCTTCGAGGTTTGCCTGTAATACTGCTTTACAACACTGGACCCTGCACAATGGAACATGGTGCAGTGTTTGTTCAGACCAGGTGTAGGGGAGTGGACCCCAGATGTAAGGGAGACCGAGTCCCTGAAGGTCTTTTATGACAAAGCCCACCATGATGGGATTCAGAGTCCTATGGTGGGAATGTTCAGTTTACATTTTCAGTGTTTCGTTGAAAGAAAAAAAAGAGGGGGGGGGGGCAATAGGGGGTGTTGGGGAAGGAATTTAGAGAGAGAGAAAAAAAGTGAGCGAAAAACAAGCAGGAGAAATAGAAAACAAGAAATAGGGATAAAGAGAGGTAAAAGGGAAAGCAGGAAAACAGAGAGAAAAGGAATGAAAAAGAGTGAAAAAAAGAGGGATAAAGTGTGAAAGGAGGGAAAAAAGAATACATGGGAGAGGGGGAAGAAGAGAGAAGCAAAGAAAAAGAGAGAGAAAGAAAAGAGAAATAGAGCAAGTGAGGAAAAGGAAAGAAGGAGAGAAAAAAGGGGGAGAAGAGAGAATAAATGGTGGAGAGGGAGAGTGAGAAAGTAAAAGAGTGAGAAGAAGTAATGGAATAAAAAAGAAAGAGGGATATGGATAGAGGGAGTGCTAAAAGTGCATGGGTTAGGGGGCTCAAATTACTTAACCTTGCCCCAGGAGCTGACCATCCACACTACGCCACTGGGTATCCATCAGGAAAAACAAAAAGATAGGCTGGTTCAGAACATTCGCTTTAGCCCTTTTAAGCCCTGGACATACGCTGGCATTATTACAATGCTACAATTGTTAAAAAAATCTTCGGGTATATATGCACTACGTTTTTTGCATGAATTGGTTGCAAAAAAAAAAAAAAAAATTCTGCAACCCTGAGAAATGCATTGCATTCCATTTTCTTACAGATAATGTACTTCAAAGGAATTGAAGCTGGGAGGTGTCCATACTTCCCCCATGCAGATAGCGTCATCTATGCAGTGTCTACGGCTATCTGCTTCCATGCAGTAAGTAATTAAGAGAAATCTACTTTCATATTACGTGTTTTGCATTGTTTTAAGATATCTGGCTAATTTAAATAATATTAATGTGTGCCGAAATGTTACAAAACCTTGTAGTTTGTAAATATCTATGTACACATAGGCAGCCTTGTTTGCTTATTTTATGTACTTGTGTTCTTTCTGCTTGGTAGTGTTGAAAGTTGTTTTTTTTTTTAAAAAACAGCACAAGCGTTAGGGGCCCACCCACATGGCCTTGTCATTTGTTCACAGTTTCCTGTGAATGAATGAACTACAAATACCGTCAGCCACCGCAGCTGACGGCTTGTGGTTTTGTATGAACTGTGAGGGCACTGATGACGCTCTCGTAGTTCATTAACAAGTCCTGCAGCTTTCAACATCCATCCTGTATGAAGGTACCAGCGGAACGCTGTGGGGATTGTCTGCAGATGCCTGACCATTGCACTCCTGATGCACTGATCATGGGTGCTATGCTTTCCAGACTTCTGCAGGAAAAAATTATAATGCAGATTTTTTTCTCCTGCAAAAATATATGCATTTATTATTTTTTTCTTGAAAGGTGAACTCCTTTAAGATCTAAACATTTGAACACTCATACAAATATGGAACAGCCCTAACTTGTTCTTCCCTTTCTCCCCTAAGCTGAACTGGTAAAAAACAACAGGACCCAAAATCGTCAACACTTTAAAAGCGTTTACAACTCTTCAGTGTGGAGATAACCCTGAATGATGGCCCTAAAATGATTGCTCTCTCTCTCTCTGGCGTTCGTGTTGATACCTAATATGTGTAGTATAATCCGTTTACATACATATGCACACCCTACGTTGCATTTGTGTCTGTGCATGGGGCGATGATTTAAGTTTTTACAATTTTTTTCAATTAACTTTATGGCTGTCTAAAGTGGGCTATTAATCACCTTATGTGATGGCATTGGTAGATGACAGCTTCTCTTTATAAAGACATCAGAGGCCTATTAAACCCCTAATGTCTCCCCTGCCTTCCTCTTCAGTCTATTAAGCACATACCTGCTTTTCAGCCGGGAGTTCAATAGCTCTGAACCCAGTCATATAGCAAAATTGTTTTACCACTTGAAGTCCAGACCGTATAACCACATACAGACGGCAAATGGTTAAAAGAGATCAGTGTACTTTCCTTTTCAGAAACACACACAAACAAATATCAAGGAATATAATTTCAGTGTATTACTGGAGCCCGCAGATTGGATTTGTTCAGATATGAGAAGGTCCTGTAACACCCTCTAGTGGTTGAATGATAGTTGACATGATCTCATTTCCGTATTTGTATATCCTTTAGGCTGTTATGGAAGTTCAGAATTTAAGGCCTTCTTATTGGAAGTTTCTATTGAGACTAACAAAGGGCAGGTAAGTTACTGTATGTAAATCTGCCGTATTGTGGTTGTATTCATTTGATATTTTGGTTTTATTCTGGCCATATTTGTGGCAATCAAGTGCAGTGGTTATTTATGAATCTGTCAGTCATCACTTGCACTAAAAGGACGTGTTTGATACATAAGTTTCATCTAGATGAGGGCTGATGAAAGATCCAATTGAATTCAAATTATTATTTCACCATGTGCAGACCATTATTGTCACAAAATCTTGTTCAAAGCAATCAGATACATGATTGATCAGTTGACTTTACATGTATGGCTTTGTAGTTAAAGCAGACCTCTAGTTAAATGTCACCTTTCCTGGAGGATGTGCTGCTCCATGCTCCTTTCACTGCTGGTCAAAGTAATTTGCTGTGTGTTTTCTGGTAAACAAGAGAATCAGAGTTCAGAATAACTAAGTCTCTGTTTTAACAGAGATCAGTTCACCAGATATCTAAGTCAGACTTATGACCAGCACGGAAGTGAGCCAGGAACAGCATTTTAGCATTTGTATTCATACCAGAAAAACTTTTTACAGAGATTTACACTCACCAGCCACTTTATTAGGCACACCTGTGCAATTGCTTGGTAACACAAACTGCTAGTCAGTCAGTCACATGGAAGCAACTCAATGCATTCAGGCATGGTGAAGAGGACTTGCTGAAGTTCACGCCGAGCACCAAAATGGGGAAGAAAGAGGATTTAAGTGATTTTGAACATAACATGGTTGTTGGTGCCAGACGGGCTGGTCTGAGTATTTCAAAAACTGTTGATCTACTGGGATTGTCACACACAACCATCTCTAGTGTTTACAGAGAATGGTCTGAAAAAGAGAAAATATCTAGTGAGCGGCAGTTGTGTGGACAAAATGCCTTGTTGATGTCAGAGGAGAATGCGCAGAGACTGGTTTGAGGTGATAAAAAGGCAACAGTAACTCATGTCAATATGGACCAAAATCTCTGAGGAATATTTCCAACACCTTGTTGAATCTATGCCACAAAGAATTAAGGTAGTTCTGAAGGCAAAAGGGGATCCAACCCGGTACTAGCAAGGTGTACCTGGCAAAATGGCTGGTGAGTGTATATATACATTTGAGTATACTGTAGGTATATTCTAAACTGCAAAACATTCAGCAAATTTTCATGTCAAATGGAAATACCCTATTTGTGTGTTTTTTACCGCTCCCTGGACATCTATGGTGTAGGATTAATGGTGTCTATTTTTGCTTTCATTCTCCAAATACTTAATTTTCTGATCACTGCATTATTTGCAAAACTAGTAATAGCTGGTCACATTCAGCTTGACTTGTTCTGTAATATTGGAGATGTTTTATAACTCATCAAAGCCACTTTCAGTTCCAATGAGTGTCAGAAATCTACCCCAGCATTTATATCCACACAGGTAGCACCAATAACTTAATTCAATCACCAGGTTTTGTCAAGGCAGATGCTGATTGTTCAAGAACAACATGGGACACTCTGTTCTAGTTGCTTTGTCCCATCATCTACAGTTCAAGACTCCGCAGTGTTCCTATATTTTAAGGAAAATGGACTTTCAACACATAGTTACATAGTTAGTCTGGCTGAAAAAAGACAAAGTCCATCTACTTCAACCATATAAAAAAAAAATATAATCCTACACCCACAGTTGATCCAGAGAATGGCAAAAAAAAAAAAAAAATACAGCAAAGCATGATCCAATTTTTTCCTGCACGGTAAAAAAATATTTCCTGATCCCCCGAGAGGCAATCGGATATTCCCTGGATCAACGTTACCTATAAATGTTAGTATCCAGTTATATTCTGTGTATCCAAGAAAGAATCCAGGCCTTTTTTTAAATCAATCCACTGAGCTGGCCAGAACCAACTCTTGAGGGAGTCTATTCCACATTTTCACAGCTCTCACTGTGAAGAAACCTTTCCATATTTTGAGATTAAATCCCTTTTCCTCCAGACGTAAAGAGTGCCCCCTTGTCCTCTGTGATGACCTCAGGGTGAATAACTCTACACCGAGTTCACTATATGAACCACTGATGTATTTATACATGGAGATCATATCCCTCCTTATGTATTATACATGGAGATCATATCCCCCCTTATGTATTATACATGTTGATCATATCCCCCCTTAATCGCCTCTTCTCAAGAGAGAATAAATTCAGTTCCTCTAATCTTTCCTCATAGCTGATCTCCTCCATGCCTCTTATCAGTTTAGTTGCCCTTCTCTGTACTTTCTCCAGTTCCCCAATGTTCTTTTTGTGAATTGGTGCCCAAAAGTGAACTGCATATTCCAGATGAGGTCTTACTAATGATTTGTACCGAGTAATATGATATCTCTCTCTCTGGAGTCTATACCTCTTTTAATACAAGAGAGGATTTTGCTCGCTTTAGAAACCGCAGCTTGGCATTGCATGCCATTATAAAGCTTGTGATCTACCAGAACTCCCAGATCCTTCTCCACCATTGATTTCCCCAGTTGTACCCCCCTATTATGTATGATGCATGCACAGGGGCGGACTGACCATTCGGGTACTTGGGCGGTGCCCGAGGGCCCAGGGTCATTAGGGGGCCCCACAAGATGCCCCTAGTACTTTTCATAGGCTTTTTTTTGGGTGTTGTTTGAGTATGGATGAGGACACAGGGGCCCCATGATCCCCTGTTGCCCAGGGGCCCCATGAATTGTCAGTCCAGCCCTGTGCATGTATATTCTTAGCCATAACCTTACATTTATCAACATTAAACCTCATTTGCCACATAGTTGCCCAATTAAACAGTGCATTGAGGTCGGCTTGTAAGTTGGAGACATCCTGTAAGGACGTTATTCCACTGCACAGCTTGGTGTCATCTGCAAAGACTGAAATGGGATTTATAATCCCAGACCCTATATCATTTATAAATATATTAAAAAGTAAGGGTCCCAAAATTGAACCTTGGGGTACACCACTGACAACCTTGGACCATTCAGAGTATGAATCATTAGCCACTACTACTATTTTCTGAATCACTTTCAACATTACAGAACAAGTCCAGTTGACTGTGACTACTATTAGCTGTACTATGACCTAGGTAGATGAGAACCTTCCGAGACCTGCATTATTTGGAGTGGCTCGGTGATAGCAAAACATAAAAATCAACCCAAAAAGAGATTGCTAAAAAAAAAAAGTAACACAAAGCTTGAGACAAATTTTTTTTTTCGTTTTTCATTTTGGCTAAAGTGGAGTGTTGTGATTGGACTACACCATATTATAAATGTTTAGTATAATAAATATTTTCTACAAATAAGTCACGGACATGAAGCAGTTTTTGAAGGACAGGTCAAATATAAATGATTTAGGAACAGTCCTATTTGTTATACCGCCACAGTCTGCAAGCACTCTGCTTCTGTACTTGGTGACCTCTAAGTTGTTCTGTTGTGCTATTTAGTACAGCAAAACTGTTTGCCTATCACTCTGCCTAATATATAGCACAGCAGAACATAAGCCGCACCTATAGCAAAGACATTGAGTGATGACATTTCATCATGGAAAGCTAAGATTAGGGGTGCTTTTATTGAATTTTAAAACTCCAGATGCATATTAGTGGAGCTTTAGAATTCTAGAAATGCATTTATCTGAGACCAAAGAGTTTAAAGTGGTAATAAAGCCTAACATTAGCTACCTATCCTTCATGCCCTTTATAAAAAGTTCTTCCTTTTTTTTAATTCTGGTTGGGTCACGTGATTCTGCATCTCCGACTCTGTTTTCTAAGGGAGCTCACGGCAACAGCTGTGACTTCAAAGAGCCATGATATCACCCATAGGTTCTCATGGCCCTGCTGTCGTCGGTGCTCCCTCCTCTGTCCTGCAGCAGCCGCTCACTGACACAGGGAGGCCAGAGCTGCAGGATCATGTGACTGGACTGGAGCGGATTAGAAATAGTAAGTACACACACTTTTTTTTTTTTTATACAGGATAGGTAGGAGGAGGGGGGGGGGTTTTCAGAATAGTTAGAATTAACCTTCTTCATCTTTAGCTTTAAAATATAGTTGCACAAAAACCTTTGGGTTTAACATATTGTATTTTGGTAATGTTACAATCTGGCATGCTTATTCTGCATTTCTCTTCTTAGGTTTAAACTAATGAACCGGAAAGCCTTGGATGTTTTTGGTTCTGAAGCCTCCAAAAACTTCAATAACTTCATCCCCAAACTGGACCCAAGATTCACTGTTGTTAAGCCAGAGTTACCAATTCAGTTCTCCTGAAATCTTGATGTTTTTTCTTCTTTCCCATGAAAAAATGTGAAAATCAAGAGTCCCAATCACAATGGGTATCAAGAGAGCACAGAGATTGTGAGGGCTTATAAGCTCCTGTTCAGTATTAACTAATTTTAGATGACCAGTACAAAGATGAGTTAATTCTCAATGAAGATGAATTATTTGGTAGATTAAGAGGTAATCGTGATAAAGATCCAAGACAGAGGCACAAAGAAAATTTCAGTCATCCCTCTGTCATCAGGCCAACAAATTATTCCAAATAAGCAGAGTATTTCAAATCATGACCTGTAAATAATATCGATATTTCTATAGCCTCGATCGCATTTAAAAAGAACTAACACCAGTTAAAGCATTGTATGATCCTCTGTGTAAGATTTTAAGCAAGACTTCTGGAGGTGTAGGGAACATGTGCCTTTTGGTTGCCTACCCCTGTTCTGAGGACCAACTCTCACCATGTCACATGTCATTCTTGTCTCCTTCGTTAGTATGGTGGCTGGCACTGGATGGGTGATATAATTGTTGATGTTTTTTTTTCTTAGTTGTGGAAGACCCGTGTGCAGAGGGTTTCCACTGTATTCTTAACTTGTAGAGGGACCAGTCAGGGTAGGGGGTCCTTCAACAGTGTGTAAAGGTATACAATGGGCAAGGAGCACCATAATATAGAGTCATGAGGCTTGTATTAAAGAAGAATCTCTTGCTTTATTATTCAGAAAATTGGGGAAAAACAGCCAACATGCTTCAGGAGTTTGAAGAACCCTTCTTCAGGGCTATGGGTAATAAGTATTGTTCAAACTGGTTTAGCTGATCTCCAAATTGGCACTTTGGCTTTTTTGAGCCTGGCATGAATGGTTTTCAGTGCTCTGATGCCTGGGTATGTGACAAGCACACCAAACCAGTGAAATTCATTGCATGTTTTTTTCCCAATTGTTTAACAAAACTAGATTCCTCATGTATACAGGCCTCTATGTTATTGTTCTCCTCACCCATTGCATACCCATTCATGTGGTTTATTTTGGAGTCTACATTTTAATGTATCACAATCAGTATCATTCCACCTTTTAATGAACCATTCATTGAATCTAGAGGTGAGATCTCTGCACTTGTTTTCCCATTTTTGTCTCATTTTTGTGGGGTGGAAGGGCTTATTCTCACTGCTGAATATTTCATTCACACCTTGTCTAATGGAAAATGCAACCAAGTCGTCAGACTCCTACTTTATAGGTGGTAGCGAGGCACCAAGGTGCAATGTAAATGAATGTCAGCAGTCAGATCTAATCCCCACTGGATAAAAAAAGCACATAAATAGTAGAATGCACCCTCATCTACAGAAATCTGATTTGCTCAGTTTTGGCTGAAATTATCCTTTGAAGGCCTGGTCCATACAAAACTGGATTTTTACTTTGCACATGAAGGTTGATTGGCTTCACAGGCTTCCTGGTGGTCAGTCTTTTTGGTGCATTTTCGATAATGAAAACAAGTGGATAATCCAGCAGATACAAATCATGCTAGTAGTAGGTGGAACCGAGAAGTCAAACCTACAAAGCATTGCTGTCCGTTACAAAGTACCAGAAGAGTGGGTGAAGTTTTACAATTTGCAAAACAATCATGATGTATTTGTTTTCCACATAGTAATGTTTTTTTTTTGTTTTGTTTTTTTTTTAAATGAAGGCAGAGATCCATAAGTAGCACTAATGCACTGCACATTTTGGGGATGTTATTTGAATGTAAGCAGCTTTCCTGGTTTTATAGGTTATTTCCACTAATGCAAGAGTTTTACACAATCGGCAAATTTTACCAAGTGAAATCTCTGACTGTGAATGAGACCTGGAATTGTAAGCACAGAACAGGACTATTTTTTGTCTATTTTTGAATCATAAATGGTTCAAATCAAACATAAGTATAATGGCATCCTGAAACGAAGAAGGAGGTGCAACCTAACTTGTTGCAAAGCATTAAAGAACTTAACAGACATTTAACCACATTCCATGTTGACTTCTCTGTGTTGTCAACATCCCTGTACAAGGTTGCTTCCATGTCCCATGTGTTTTTACTATGCAGCAATGGCTAATTATTAATTACTTAGTTGGTGGCTATCAAATATGGCAGCTCTTACTTGAGGTGAACAGACATTGCCTTCAGTGAAAAGAGCGGGTCAAAGCAATATGTAGATCCAGAGACACAGCAAGCTGAAATTAAGCTATATGCATATCTTACCTTTAGTGTTAAAGTCAGACTGGACCTTGTCCCTTCCCCTCTTAGCTCATCAGTCTTCCTATTGGCCAGTCAGGTATTTGGATGAGGAGAGAGGAGCGCCAGAGTCCAGAATAATATCACGTTCGTTGGAAAGGTTACTATCTTTTATTAAAGATAATGGATTTACAGGATGAGCCGTGTTTAGGAGAAATTAGCTCCCCCTTCTTCAGGCCTAACATGAAAATATAAACATAAAAGCAAAAAAGAATAAACAATGTACAGTTGGCAATTGTTGTGGAGCTAAAACAAAAAAACAGTATACATACATATGTATATGTACAGGGTCAGAGCAGATTGCATATAAATTATGAGATCCAGTTGCAATTATATGAGTGAAACGAGTTGGATATCAAAAGGCATTAAAAAAAAGTGTAATGTTCATGATTTCTTAAATGAATATTAATAATGGTACAAAATAAAAAAAACGATATAGATCCATAAATATATAAAAATAATGGTAAATGAGTTGGATCTCAAAAGATGTCACTGTCACTGAACCAACATTGCTGTCGTACCAGTAAGGTAGCAGCCCAGTCCTCCAAATGGAGGTTAACACCACCATTGACCCCAGAATCATGAAAAAAAAACTATTATAAATACCTGAAGGAGTCCAGCGTGGTCCCTGACTTCAACTAATATTGGTCAGTCAAGCACCCCATCACATTAAAGGACAAATGGGGAAGGTGGAGAAAAGTTCATATTTGCATAATGCATCTCCTGGCTTTATCTCTGAGATGAGCAGAGAGTCTGACAATAAGAGGTTGTCCTTGGGCAATAAGAGATACTCTTGCTTTATGGTCACAGAGGGGTTTATTTACTAAAGCTGGAGAGTCCAAAATCAGACTCCCTTCTGCATAGAAACCAATCAGCTTCTAACCTCAGCTTGTTCAATGAAGCTTTGGCAATGAAACCTGGAAGCTGATTGGTTTCTATGCAGAAGTGAGTCTGATTTTGCATTCTCCAACTTTAGTAAATAAACCCAGAATGTCTGCTGGTAAACTTATGTTCAGCAAGATAGCCTTTGTCAGATGCTACTTCCATACAGCACAGCAGTGATCGCTCCTCCCGATCAGCAACCCTTAGAATGAGAGGCAGAGATGAATTATCACGTTACCAGCTTTTCAGTTTCCATCTTGCCCTGAATTATGTCAAATGCTAAAGATGTACAGCTCAAAATTGACCTCTAATCCTGGGCAGCAGCTTTTAAAGGGAAATGTAGAAAAGATAAGCCATGAGACCAGAATTTCATTTTGTGTTTTCAGGTGTTTGTGAACTTAATATATTAATAAATGAACTGCATGCAACAGGGGTTTGTCTATTCAGCACCATCTTTGCTGTGGGCTTTGCTTTTACATTAAGAACTATATACTATTTTTTTTTAAATGGCCAAGGCTCATGGTGAAAAAGATCACGTTGATCTTATGGAACTGAAAGCTGATGCTTCCCATTGTTAGATTTTTTGGTGACCTGAAACGAGATATGTTATCTATGAGTTTCTGTTAGTGTCTCCCAGTCCTGGCTCTATTAGTTTTGTTTAGTTTCTAGGCTCTCGGTCCTTTTTCAACCACATTAAAGTAACCTAGATTCTCTGTATATAACAAGAATGTATAAACTCAATTACTGTTGAGTCCATTGTGTCCAATTGGAAGTTGGTTCAAGCTGTCTCCAACCATCCTGGTTAAGATTAGTAAATTCCTAACAGGTTTCAGGTCCCCTTTTCCAAGGAAACATTTGTGCCCAGCCCTGAATGTCTGTGCTCAGGTGATGACATGCCTGAGCATCTTGTAGGCTGTGGAGATTGATTTCCTGAGCTCTCCTGAACCACTGTCACTTAGACTACGGTAATTGGAAAGCAGGGGGAAGCTGTTTGGCTTTGTAGGAAATGTTGCCCTTCACTACCCACACCTAACAGGCACCTTTCCTAATGATAAACAGCTATTCATTCTGGTGGTATAGCAGTGAAATCAACCCCATACATTTCCATGTCTTCATTTACACTAATTGTGTGGTCCTGTCTGTTTATTAGAAAAGCTGTAGGCCACCAGAGGGTGGAAACATTGGAGAATTTCTTTTAAATAACATTGACATTTTGCAGACAACTGACAATGTAGGTTTAATGATTCTAAACTGACAATCTCAGGACTACACAGATTATAAATTGCACAAATTTTGGTTATAATGACATTTCCTCAGGTGCAAAAATATGTAGTACATTTGTGATCGAATAGCTGAACTGGGACATTGCTACTCAGCAGTTGTAGAAATGTTTTATTCCAATGCGTTACCATGTGTTACTGCACCACTTTCCTCCCTTTATATGCGCAGGATTGAACAGACAGTGACACTGTCTCTCAGAGTCTCCTTGTATATTATTATACAGGATTTATATAGCGCCAAGAGTTTGCTCAGCGCTTTACAATATAAATGTGTCTATAATCCCTTCTGTTCTTCCCTAAAAGTGACTGAATAATTGAAGGTGCCCACAAGCCTTACTTAACTATATATTTGTGCAGAATGGTTCTTTTAGACCTCATGTTCACTGCTCTTACTAAATGTGAGTTTAGAACCTTTGGTGAATTTTTTACCAAAGCCCCTGAGCTCAACTCAATAAGCCTTTGTGTCCATGTACACATAGGCTTTCACCAGAGTTTAGGAGCAGTAGAGTTCAGGGGCAGTTAAATGTCCCTCCACTGAATGCAGAAGAATCATGTTCAAGAACGTTTTGGGTAAAAAAA